TTGGGTTGGAGCAGGTGTGGTCAGTCGGTCGTGTGATCCAACATGTCTGTCAAACAGATATCCCCGGCGACGGAGAAAGGAGCAGCAGACATATACCCATGAGTGCGAATCGTAAAGCAAAGTGAAAACAAAGCTGAAAAATCTTTAACCCCAAATCACCTACCCTTTCCCTCCTCCTTCGCCCTCCTTGTTCCCCTGACTACACCTGATTCTCCTCGAAAAATCGCCCCCTCTTGGTTGGACGCTCCTCACCTCTACCCCTTTCACGCTCTAACCCTTCTGCCTCTTCCAAAACGTCATCGAGAGCAAGTAACAGTCTCTGTCTCAAATACGTATTGCCCAATTTCTCCGCGCCCCGAAAGAGTTGTAGTAAAAAATAGGGCTCCGTCTCGTGCTTGGATATGAGACTCGCAGCGCAGCGGTAGATTTTGTCTTTGCACTGGTCAAAGAGACTGGGGAGGAGCGAATGAACGAAGCATTAGCAATCCCAACTTGTGCCAACAACCACAGAGTGCAATCTGTGTACAACCGTTTAGCTTCGGGAGTAATACTCGTCTCCATATCATTTCCACTCATATTGGTTCCCTCTGCGTAGACATCTGGTACCTCCTCCTTAATATCATATTCATCAACCTCGGCAGCTTCCACCCACGACGCATCTCCACGGTTCTCGATAAACCCTCCTTCTTTATACTGATTCAGTCCTCGGACGGCTTGATCGACCTCAACAGACCTGTACTGGCCTGGAGATGCACTCCGATGGTCGTAGGGCAGCAGATTATGGACTGCAGGGCTATTGGAAGAGGGTTGGCAGGAAATAACACAAGAACTCCCGCATGGCAGTTATCTTACAAATTTGGTCCCGGACGTTTCGAATTCGCGTTGGATGGACCGTTACCTGCACGCGCGCGCGAAGGGGCAGATTGCACTTGTTCGATATTCCGCTCTTGCTGAAGAGACGACTGTCCGACAGACTATTCAAATATCTGCATAAGCGCGCATATCAACCTTCTACTTGAGCGCACTCAACCACATACCGCCTGCGTCTTCAGCAAGTTCCTAAAATATGTCACCTTGTTCTAAAATTGCACAAACGTCAGTCTCAACCACAATCCTTAAGGAATACCATGATCCCAAACCTGAACTTGAACCAACTCCCCGAGTTGCCCCTTCAACCGGGCAAATAACTCGTCAAATTGCTGTTTCTGTTCATCCGTCGCCATTTCTCGAGCTTTTTCAACAGTCCCCATTTGAGCAAGAACCTCCTGTTCAAAGAATCAGCGCTAGTCGAAGACGTGAATGAAAAATAGAGACGAACCTGCATTCCTTGTTCAATGTTCTGGATGTCTGCGTCACTGACGTCCTCGGGAACGCTTTGATCAACTCGTTGTTCAGCGTTTCCAGCGTAGTAGTGGAGATGGGACGGAACTCTTGGCTCTGCACGTCTCATTTGACCATTCCCCCCGACAGAGGCTGCCTCTAACCGCCTCATCAACTCTTCCAGAGCGAACTCTCTCGGGTCCTCGTTCTGTTGAAAATGTACATTTGCGGCTTCCGCTACCCGGTGTTGATCCGACATTGCAGAGTCCAGATTGGCGAGTTGGTCGACGCTTGCGACTGTAACGTTCTCGGCAGGATAAGCATCCTGAAGAGCTTTCTTTTTTGCATCCAGGCCTCGTTTTATATCTTCAAGAAATGCAAGTTCACGACGGAGGGCTGCCACCTTGGAGTGATCTTGCTGCTCGGCGTCTGTCAGCATCTCCAATGTTTGCTTCCCCGTTCTTTGTTCCCCAGAAACAATATCGCGTTCCCCAGGGTCAATATCGTCAGAGCCCTCATAACCCCTCATAGCCTTAACAATCGCAAATTGATCTCTCAATTCCTCCAGCTCTGCCTGTCTCTCCGCGAATACGCTCAACTGCTCATTAGCCCTCTCTTCATTACGTTCGTATTGTTCTCTAAGTGCTTGGAGCTGTCGGAGTTGCGTATCACGAACTTCATGCATTTGCTTCAACTCCACTAGCTGCTTTAGCGCAGGGCTGACTTCGAGCTCCGAAGAGGCGATTGCGTCAATTGCTTTCATAATATCATCGATTTCCGCAGCGTCAATCAACTTCATGTCTGGGGACGGGTTTGAGGATCGGGGACAGGACGAGGTCGCGATATACTCTTCCGAGGCAAGGGCTTTGGCATCCTCAATGAACGCTGTCATGGCTGTTCTGTTATGGTCGTCTTCCAGGCCCGCCACTTGGGCATTTAGGCTTTCTAAAGCTTGTAGGTCGTTTCTATTGAGGAGCGGAACATATTTCAGTGAAGTGTGCACGTTTGAAAAGGTTCCCTATAGTATGTACGACCAGGATCTATAGAGTACGATATTGAACCCAACTGCGCATCACATACCG